CCCGTCGCTGTCTGGGTTTAATGGGGGTATTAGAACCCCACCAATCTTAAATTCTCTTACTGCAGAAGCCACAAAGTTTCACACTGCCTGCTAACTTTATCGGGGGTCCTTCCTGCTGATTTTAGCCTTGCGCACCCCAAGTTGGGTGGGAAAGCATTAATCTATAACGGCTCTAAAAAACCCCCAAATCGGGGAGCTGCTTCCAGAGTCTGTCAAAACATGGCACGTGCCACGGCATCATCGCACATTAGGACATCATGGCGAGACGACTCCCTTTATGCGTTTTGCAAATTACATACAGTAATTGGCGCCATTCCTTGGCAGCGCCATAGCGTGTGATGCCTGCTTTCTTTCAGCCCTCTGCTTCACCCTTTTGATTGGCATGAATACAAACGAGCAAAAACAAGGAAGCAAAGAAGGCCTGTGCTGGGGGTCCCTTTCAATTTCCCCAGGAGCCCTGGGGGGTCCAGAAGTGCATGTTGCTGGGCAGTGCGTCCATCCCTTGGCTGGATTCACCCAACACACCAATCCCTAAACCTGATGCCTGCGCTCGTGGAAGTCCAGCCAAACTCCCTTGCCTGGTTCCTACGATATGCTCAGAGTCAACAAAAGTTGTGTCTTTGCCACAGGCTGGACCACAAAGTACCCAGCTGTGTGGTTGCCTAGCTGAGGGTCCTCTGGCCATCACAGATCCAACTTGGGCAGGAGACAGTGGACGGAGAGACTTCTGGCTTTTGCAAGCCAGGGCCCACTGGCCCTGCGCATCTGGAGGGCACCGTGCTGGGAGAGGCTGGCCATAACATACATCTTGCAGGGACAGTGACGCTGACTGAGTTCAGCCAGCCCCCTAACCCAGAAGCTGCCTGTCAGTGGGTTTGTACAAGTCCGGAGCATCATGAGTGTCCATGGGAGCCAGTGATGTCACGGCCAGGAGATGCCGTCATGGCTTGTAGCTGCAGACCGTGCTCACAAGCTGGATAGCTTTGTTTATGCCACCCTTGCTGTGGGGCCAGTGGCTCCTTTTTGTTGACTCTGAGCATATCGTAGGAACCAGGCAAGGGAGTTTGGCTGGACTTCCATGAGCGCAGGAATCAGGTTTAGGGATTGGTGTGTTGGGTGAATCCAGCCAAGGGACGGACGCAGTGCCCAGCAACAGTTTGTGTGAGCGCATGCCCAGAGGCCAGGCCTTTCCTGGGGTGACCTCCCCTGCCACAGAGATCTGTTGAGCCCCTGGGCTTCTCAGGGCAGTGGGGTATTTATAGAGCTGGAGCAATGGGGTGGGGGGAGGGCTCTTCTGTTCCTTGAATCCGGGCTTTTTAGCTTTCCAAAGGGAAGTGGGCCCTATGGAAGGGATTATGCAGCCCTGCCTCTTCTGCTTGTTGAAAAGACGGCTAGAGGGAGGTCCAAAAGCATTTCAGAGTCTTCAGACAGGCTGCGTAAATGTTCCATGCTGTTAGCAAGTGAGTCACTTGAGCAAGTGAGTCAAGCTGCATATGGCAGGAAGGAAACCGTAAACGCCTATGGTGAGCCTAAAGTTGCAGAGGAAAATGCCTGGCTCCAGAGAAGAGGTCGGGCTGGGGCCCAAACTCATAGATGGGGATTCTTAAACTATGGGTCGGGACCCCTTGTGGGGGTCTCAGGCATCTAGGGGTGGGTGCTGCGTGTGCAGACAGACAGCCCACGACCTTCTGCTCCTTGCAGTTTTTCTGCTCTGCCGTGGAAGAAAGATCTGTGGTCTCCCATTAATTATGCACCTTTTCATTAAAGCCAATTAAGAGAGCGAGTGAATGCTTGCCTCTTCATTAATATATCTGGCTCTTCAAGGAGCATAAAATGCCCTGCCTGGTGGGAGAGCACAGAAGGGGTTCCGTGGCAGCAGCCTTTTAATAACAAGGGGGCACTCTATACACGCTCTGGTGCCGTCTTGGATGCCAGAACTGAATCGCAGAGTAAAACTGCATTTCCAGCCTGAAAGGCTGCTTTGAACCTTGCTTTGCCGTGACGTGGCTGGATTTGACTTTCTTTTGCTGGTGATCCTGATGTTTAAATCTTTACATACTGGGAGCATCTTAAATTGTTCCTCTAAGACCGTGTTTCTCAACCTCAGTGACTTTAAGCAGTGTGGACTTCAAGTCCCAGAATTCCCCAGCCAGCCATGCTGGCTGGGGAATTCTGGGAGTTGAAGTCCACCCCGCTTAAAGCGGCCAAGGTTGAGAAACACTGTTCTAGAGGCTGATAAACGAAACTGAATGGTAAGAGAGGCTGAAGCCGAAGGGAAGCGACAGAATTGCTGAGCCTCTGAAAGAACAGCCACGAGGAAGCAGAAGGCCGCCCCGCAGGGCTGCTGTGTTGGCCGATCTCTGTGCTGAGCTCCCCCCACCCCCGACTTGGCCACTTGTTTTTCTGCTGCGGTGAGAAATGCTGCTTCCTCTTATGTGCAATTCATGCCCAGGGGACGGAGGGAGGGAGGACTCTAAGAAGCCTCCAGGGAAGGCTGGGGAATAAACCGAGCATCTTCCCCTCTTGCAGGCAGCCCCCAGAGGACCTTTGCCAGTACTTGCCCAGGGCAGCATCTAAGCTTGGGCTAGAATAAGGAAGGTCTTCAGCGGGGAGGGGTCAGCGTCTGCAAGAGGGCGGGCACAGTGCCAAAAGGGCAGGGTTTTGGTGGGCACGGGGTTCTCTCGAGGACGTGGGTGCCTCTGGAAGTGTGGCTTCCTGGAACACGGTGGCCACGGAAAGGGTGGCCAGTTGGTCTCCCTGGCTTCTCCCACCAAAGAAAACAGGAAGGAGCCATGTGGCTGGGCAGTGGGATGGCTGGACGTGCGAAAGGCTTGGCAGACCTCTCCTTCTTGGAGAAATGCTCCCGCCAGCTCCTCTGCCCACCGGCCAGGTGGATTCAGCAAACGGGTTGCATTATTTGGGATGCAGGATGTGGTGGGAACATCGTGGCTGGGTGAACCCAGGACTGACTGATCCATCGGGCTTAAGGCCCGCGAAAGTTTCTGTCTAAATCAGAAAGGATAAAAACGAAGGAGCTATTTATTCTCATGCCTTTTAATAAATGTTTATTTATTCTCATGCCTTTTATTCAAAAACGCACCGAATCTGAACATCAGACTGAGGGTCTTATTTGTAACCTACAGGTGTAGCGTGAATACTAAAATGTAATAACTTGGATGATACGCAACAGACACCATAATTAATTGCCAACAATTGATGATAATATTAAGTAATACCTGTAATAATTGCTATTCCATATTTCTCTGTAAAAAGAAGATGAAGGCCGCATTGATAATCATATAAAATATAATGTTCAACACAATTTTTTTTCTGAAGGGAGGGGCCCGTGAGGGCAAAAGTGCCCAGAACCCACAAAAGTCGTAAGGCAGCCCTGGGTGAGCCATGCCCTTGTCTCAAGCCACCGCCTGGTCTATCGGTTGGACCAAAAGCCTTCGGTGGACACCGCAGGCGTGTCTGGTTAACAAGGGTTGCCGGTAGGGAGTGAACCCAGCCAAGGTTGGCCTAATCTTGTCCTTCTCCAGATGTTTTGGTGCTGGGCATTCCAAGCACTGCCATCCTCACCCATCTGGAGCTCCGGGTGGACCATCGTTCTCTGCTTGGCTGGCTGTAGGCAAGCAGGCATTTATGCGCACCCCCTCTTCCGCTTTGACCCTTCCCCACCCTGAAGACAGGGCAGCAATGTCCAACAGAGAATCCTTTCTGATGGGGTCAAAATTAGGAGCTCAGCTCATCATGGCTTTGCGGGCACCTTTGCCTGGTCCCTTCAGACGTGGTTCATCCTCCCCTTTTTCTGGGGTGGGTTTTCAGCCTCATGGTCTTGCCCACAGCTGGGATTCCTGGTGTCTCTCATCCAAGTGCCACCCTGATTTGATCCTGCTTACCTTTTTGAAGAAGAACCAAGGTTGGCTGAGGGCTGTGAAAAGCTTGTTTTATTTATCGCTTAGATGGATTCTTTGCCTTCGCTCCCCCCTCTAAGTTTCCCCGGACGGCCGCCTTGGGGGCAGGTTGGAGTGAGGTGCTGTGACCCCGAAGCATCCAGGTCTCCTTGCTCCTAGCCCACTCCTCCCCGCAGCGGCTGCACCTTTTAACCAGAGGCGTCGGGGAGGACCCCTGGCATCTTGCCACGCCAGCCAAGGAGGTGCTCAGCCTCCATAGGCGTGCAGAAGGAAAGGAAAGAAAGCCGTCTGTCTGTCCGCTGGTTCCTTCAGCTGTTTGTCCTCTCCTGAGTCTGGAGTTGTTTGCAGTTTTCTGGTCGTAGGTTGGCTTAAATTGAGAGAGTTGCGTGCGCAAGCTCAGCTCGATGCCCTCGAGCCGGTCTACGCGGCCTTCCCCCGGCAGCCTGACCAGACGGATGGAAAAGGTACTTTCTGCCATGGCAAGGGTTCAACCCCCCCCTTTTTTGTCCTGGCAGGTGGATATTGAGCAGGGGGATCCCCGCGGCCGAACGCCCTTGCACCTGGCCACCACCCTGGGCCATCTGGAGTGTGCACGAGTTCTGTTGCGCCACGGCGCTGACGTGGCCAAAGAAAATCGGAGCGGCTGGACAGGTGCGTTCCCATTTCTCCCATGTGCAGATGGAAAGCGGTGCTGAGCATCAGCGCTTCTCGTTTAGCGTAATACAGCTTTCCGAGCAGCGGCGATGCTCCGGAACAAAGCGCGGAGCCCAAACGGTCCTGATCCGAGCAAACAGCAGCACCTGCTTCCCTTAGATTTCCACGATAGAATTAAGCACTGGCTTAACTCTCTAGAGAAAGTGGCAATAGGGCAAGCCGCAGCTGCCAAGTTGTCGAGACGCCGCTGTGGGGCGAGGCTCGTGTAGCGACGTCACTGCAGGTGCTTGAATACCGTGAAATCCTCTTCCTCGCTTGCCAGCATAAAACAGGCCAGCCACCCGTCTGGCTTGTTTTCTGCCAGTAATTGAGCACTGAGGGCCAGTTTGGTCTAGTGGTGAAAGGCCCCAGGCCAGCCACCGGGAGACCGGGAGTTCTGGTCCTGCCTCGGGCACGAAGCCGGCCGGGGGCCAGTCCCTCTCTCTCAGCCCCAGGATGAAGATGGCCGGGGCAAACCGCTTCCCACAATGCTTCCTAGAGAGCTGCAGGGACTGTCCAGTCAGGCGCCACAAATCAAGACCGATTTGGAGGCAAAACAAATTGCCGGTTGCTGGTTGAAGCAGACCAGCTGGACGGTTTTCTGTTGGCATAAAATAATCAAACAGCCATATCTGTTTGTTTCTGGTGCTTTTTCTGCTTTGACTCACTCCAGCAGCCAGGCCAGGCCACTAAAACCCATGTGCCACGTGCCCTCTGCTTGGACTGTGGTCTTAATTTCCTGGGATTCAAATGATGTCCCTTGACCTCATTAGCTGTAGGGCTCAGTGCTGGCTGGATCAGGATCTCATTGCTCAGTCCTCCCCATGTTCACTCCCAAGTAAGCCGCGCTGCTTTTAATAAAACAAGGATGTTCGGGACGGTGGGTGGAAATCTTAGATGGCGCCCCAGGGCAGATTTACACGGGAGTAAGATACGACTGAACGCAACAGGCCTTCCTTCGGAGGAAAGGAGCCCCGATGGCACGCTAGCTTGCTTCCGCTGTGGATGCCGTACAATCTCTGTAAAAGATTTGGGGCTTTGTAGTCACTGCTGAGTTTTTGAGCATGGTAAGAAGATTCAGCTGACTCTGCTATGGACTGTGCTGAAGGCGCTCCCCAGTTTTTATATGAGATTATAATGTAGAGTTTCTTTGAGCTTTGGCTATTTTTCTGTTTGTTTTTAATCTCCAATTATGGCAGTGTTGTCCAAACTTGGCCACTTTAAGATGAGTGGACTTCAACTCCCA